CTCGGGGCCCGCGGGGGCGGCCGATCGCGAGGGGGCGGCTGCGCCCCGAAAACGAGGACGACGCGGGCCCGGACCCTTTCCGGCCGTGTGCGCGCACAGACGTTGCACACGGACGCCCCACACCTCCTGTGTGGCCGGCGCCGCCTCCCCGGAGAGGCCGCGGCGGACCGCGGCGCCCTGAGACTTCAGCGCGGCCCTCCTGGGAAGAGGCGGCCGCGCGCGTCCATTAAGGAACCACCGGGGAAGCAGCCCTGAGCGCCGTGTTTAAGTCCTAGTTGGTGCCTAGGTGTCCGGGCGGAACGCGCGCGCGCCGGCTCGTCTCAACCTGAGCACTGCCGGCGGGGACCGAGGCCGGCCGACTCGGCCCGGGAGGGGGAGGGGCCGCTCGCCGGGCTCCGACACGGGTCCGCGGACGCTCCTCGGCCCTGACGCTGGCTGGTGGACCAGGGCTGGACTCCGAGGCGTGCCGCAGGGCAGCTTCAAGGCCACCACCCCGAGGACGCTGCGGTGGATGAGTTTTCAAATGTCTCCACCTTTGCCTGGCAGCTAATCCGCATGATATGCACATGCACACACGCACATCGCTCTGTGTGAGCACAGACACACTGTCAAATTCACCAGCCTGAATAGCCCCTAAGAGAAAAGGACAAGACAAACAAGTTGCACATGTTTAAACTATTTTTATCTTTGTCTTTGACAAAGCACCAAGAAAAAAATGTTTACTAAAAGCACAGCAGTTTAATAGACTCGAGTACAAATACACAGAGACACTGGATTACTGTGGTCATAGAAACGTGACAGATGAGTACTATGATGTGTACAGTTATGTTCTGACACGTTTGTCTTATTCCCAGTCTAAAAATAAAAGCGCTTATTTTTAAGCAAAGAAATCCCACATTTCATTTATCATATTCACCATTCTATCAGTCGTCATGCCGACGTCTCTCACATAGGAAGGGGTACCTGGATAAATCTCTTATCCAGGAAGAGCGAAGGGAGAGGCTCCCTGGTGCCCTTTTAATGGCTGAGATGCGCCTTATCTAGGGGCAGTAGCTGCTGGGTCGGGTCTCCTGGAGGTAGACATAGTGTACCTCTCCTGGAGGTAGACAGTATGGGTTGACATAGTGTATTTGTTCTCATAGAAATCATGGGAATTGTACTACAGACTGACCTGTGATATACATTCTTGTAAAAATAGTGTACATTGTACTAATTCCGTAACTATGTTTTGTCTTTAAAGCCTAAAATTACTTAAGAGGAATTGAAAGCCTTCACACTTGTAATACCCAACATGTGGGTACGGAAACGAGAGGACAGAGAAGGAAAAGCAGTTGTACTTCTGCAAAGGGGGCAGTCAGAAGGAGGTGGATCCCCTATTCCCAGAGAAAGAAAAGCTTCCTGACTTTATTCCTGTAGAGTCCTCCTTACAGGCTTTCCCAGACTGGCTTTTTATGTGGCATCTGGGCTGTAACAGCCCCAGGAAAGGTCTCCGTTAGTCCCTGACCACACCTGAGCCTGAGACCTTCCGGACAAGCACTGTGGGCTTCTTGCTTTCCCAGGAGGCTTCCACTTGGGAGAGCTGAAGGACCACCCTTTTCACCCTTTTGCCAGTTCTTCCTAGATGGATCCCACCAGAAAGCTGGCACCAGGAAAGGAACAAGGTGCGAGGAATGGAGACGGTATCAAGAATCTGAAAGGCCTTCCTTCATTCTCCAAACAAAAAGGTTTTTATTGCCAGGTCTCGCCACCTGCTGGTTGGTGTTCAGTAGCATTATCCAAAAAGTTCTGTTCATCAACGTAAATGTTCTCCAAGTTTATGAAATTAAAAAATTATACTAATCTGAATATATTAATGCTTAACGTGTAAAATCTTCCAACTATTAAACTTTTTATTTAAAATGAAGGTAGAAAGACACCATTAATTAAGAGGGAGTGGATTAATAGGATGCCAAAAGTTAAAAAAAATAATACTAACCATTTGGGTTTTTTAGGTTGAAAACTGACCCCAAAAGAAGTGGAAATAAATCCATAAACAAAATGAACTCACTAGAGCGGGTAAAAACTAGCAGTACATACATATATCTTGCATAAAAGAAAAACTGTTTTAAGAAATGACATCTCAGGCACCTGTAATCCCAGCACTCTGGGAGGCTGAGGCAGGAGGATCACAAATTCAAGCCTCACTTGGGCAACTTAGCAACTTTGCTCCTGTATAAAAATGAAAAGTTAAAAATACGTTAGGGGTGCAATTCACTACAAATACCCCGGTTTCAATCTCCAGTATTGTGCACTCTTCCCCCAAAAAACCCTCATAGGCCTCGTAAGTGATCTAAAACGCTAGTTTCTAATTTCACATATTTTATACACCATAAACTCTTCTGCTGAGTAATATCACACTCTTTCAATGATTTCATTACTTGGTAAAGCACTGCATAAGCCCCAATAATATTGTTCCCAATTCATTAATGAGCCTTTCTTCTGCTTTTGGTGATCGCATACGAGTTGTACAATCTGTGCTCTCAAACCATTCTTGTAATCAGGAAACATTTTCATCAAATCTAAAACAAGCCTTAGTTTAACTTAGAAATCTGCCTAACTAATGGTGGTCACTAAACCTCAAAAGCTGTTAGAAAAATAACCACCTTTAAACCTAGGTAACAAACTGCGAACAAGTCATTGGTGGTGCGCAAGTTTAACAGTGGACAGATGTTTACTTTAAATTTTATTAGTACATGTTTGTAGCATATGACAGGTATTGTGGGGAGCAGACACATGTATATCTATTCCCCTCCCCTCTTCCCATCTCTAGATCCCCATGTTGTCTGTTTTTCATCGGCTTATCACTTGCTCTTCAAATTGTTTCTCATATAAAAGAAGTTATGTGATAATGAAGCTTTTGTGTCTGATTTATTTCACAACATTATAGTAACAAATGACTCAATGTAGCCTTCTTTAGGGTGGAGTACTATCTCATATAGAGAAACCATGTATTTAAACTTGTGTGTCCTATTTACTTAATAGGACAGTCTCAAGGGGCATCCATTTTCCTACAAAAGACTCTAATTTATTCTTTATGGTGAAGTAGCACCCCACTATGTATAAATATTTTATTTATTCATCTGTTGATGAACATAAACGCCACTTCCAAAATTTAGTTATTATGAGTTGCGCTGCTATAAACATGGGAACGCACGTATCACTGTAGTATGATGTGTTTAATTCTTGGGAAGATTCCTAGAATAGCTGGGTCAAACGGAATTTCTACTTTTAGATTTTTGAGAACTCTCCATACTCATTTCCACAGTGGTTGTACTAGTTTATATTCCCACCAACCCCTGAAGCCTCGCCAGTACTTACTGATTACTTGATGGTAGCCATTCTTTCTGGTGTGAAATGGAATCCCAATGTTGTTTTACTTTGCAAATAATGTTTACTTTTGATTTACAAAAGAAATAGCAAATTTGTTTATGAAAGGTTTTTTTCCAGTTCAGACTAATGACTTGGCACTTAAAATAAAATAAGCTAGGGGTAGGAACCTGTCTTAACTGTTCAAATGCCTAGGGCTCTCCTTGGATTGAAATTGCAGTCATACAACCAAGTAAGTAACACTATCATACTGAAAGAGAATAGGTGAAGAGTTCGCATTCTGATGTGCAATAATTTTTCTTTTGTACTATTTAGCAGAGTACAGCATCTCTCAAATATTAATTGCTACTAAATAATTAGAAAAATTAATGTATTTGTTTCCTGAGGTTTTGGTGACAAAGAACCACAGACTGAGTGTTTTAAAGCAACAGAAATATGTATTTTTTTGTTCTACAAGCGCAAAATCAAGGTGCCTGTGAAACCATGCTTCTCAGAGACTTTGGGTACTCTTTTCTCCTCTCTCCCTAACTGCTGGTGATGGCTGGCAACCCTTATCTTCCTTGGCTTGCAACTGCATGCCTCAGTCTTTACCTCCGTCATGACACGGGTCCTATTTAGTCAATCTGTTTTTTCTCTTAGAAGGTCATCAATCATAATGGATTTGGACTCATCCTAACAATCTCATCTTAAGTTGATCACATCTGTACAGACCCTATTTCCAAGTAAGATAAAGGCCTTGAGCATATTTTGGAGAGGTATTTCAACCCACAATGTTTCTTACAGGGTATTTTTCACACTAATGTGATGAAGGACCAACACCTAACAACTTAGCAACATTAAAACTGAATCTCAAGCAGCAGTGGGAACTTTCTAAAACTAAAATCTAGCTATTTCACATTTCTACTCAAAGCACATCAAACGCTAGACTCTAACTCCTTGTATGGCATGCCCTGGTCATGCCTGTCCACTCTTCCTTGCTTTCCCTCCGCACAGCTAAACTACATTTAGGTGGTATCTGGAATCTGAGATGTGATGGAAAACCATGGTGAACATTTAAGTTACCAAAAATTTATTACAGCAAGACACGTCTCTTTTAACCCCCTCGGCCTAGTCTGACTTCAAACACACTGACTCCACCATTCCTGCCACTTCCTGAAGCAGCTCTGGAGTCCTTGCTTTGGTTTAGCTGCACTGTGCTGGTTGCCTCATGTCTTGAATTGGTTCAAAATGTTCACCTTTCATGGTCATTTTGACTCTGGGGCACAGCTAGAAGTCACACGGTGCCAGATCTGATGAATGGGTGAGGGTACCCCATGTTTTTCTGAGCCTGCCTTTGTTAGATCCCACTCAGCAGCAGCAGTCTTTTTAGTACATCTAATAAAGGCACAAAAGAAGACCTCTAGAACTGCTTCATAAAGTGGTAAAAACGATGGGATGTGTTCAAAGAGGAGGAGTATTTTGAGGGGAATTAATAGCAATGTGTCTTCTGCTACATTTTTAAACTTTCACCATAAATTTCAATCACACCTCATTATACCAAAATCTCTTGCACCTTTTGCTTTTGTACAACTACTAGACTCCTTGAAAGGCATCCAAATTTTTTACCTTACAAATTCACCTATCAAGTTTCACTTCTACAATTTCTTCCTCTGTGAAATCACCAGGCTGTCCTGGGCAGGCTTAAGATTCTACTGTGGTTTATGTAGAGGCTAGGAGTTTACAATTCATAAACTTGGGTCTGAATCCTGGCTCCATCAGTTGACTACAGTGACTCTGGGCTGTTCAACCTCTCTATGCCTGCTGTGACATAATACACACACTTAGTAGGGTTAGCATGGTTTCAATGAGTTGAAACATGTAAAACACTCAGCAGGGACTGGAACCAGTTCAGTGTTTGATGTTGTGATCTTTTCTTCTGTTTGTTTTTTGAGACAGTCTTGCTATGTATCCCAGGCTCTCATACAGATCCTCCTGCCTTAGCCTCTGAAGTGTTGGGATTATAGGCCTGTGCCACCATACCTGGCATTACCTTATAATTTTATTTATGAGTATTACTGATCACTGTGAAATTTGTGGCATGTATTTCCTGCCCGAAACTATAAACTACTCGAAGGCAGGACCATATATTTCCCCAGCACATTCCTAGAACAGAATAGTGCTTAGCATCTAAATATCTGTGACATAAGATTCAGAGATATCATGCTGAAGAAGGAAACAGGCTGTTGGTTCCTCTTTCTCCAGGAAGATTTATAAGGACATAGCAGTCATCAGAGAGACACAAGAGCAGGATAAAATGTTTATACAGAATTCTACCCCCAGTGCCTGAATAGCCAGTTTATTATTAGTATTCAGCAAATGAATGTTGAAGAAAAATAGAGGTTATAAAGTCAAGAGTGGAATAACCACAAAATAACGTTTTAGCATCAAAACATGAAAACTATAGAACTGGTACCACATGCCATTTATTAATATAAAGTGCTCAGATTTAATTCATTGGTGGACTATTTAAGCATAATTTAAAGTGTGGGATTCTAAAAATTTAACTTGGGGGTTACAATACTGGGGACTGACCCCAGAAATGTTCGACTATTAAGCTACATCCCCAGCCCTTTTAAAAATTTTATTTTGAAACACAGTCTTGCTAAGTTGCCCAGGTTGGCCTCAAACATGCTGTCTTCCCGCCTCAGCCTAAGTGGTAGCTGAAAATATAGGAGGGTTTAGCTGGTCTTTTTCTTCTTTTACAAAAATATATAGAAGTGTGCTATACAGCAGGCCTACACTTCTTATTTCTTAAACCTTTACTCATATCAAAGCCCTGCAAACAGAACATATCTGAAATAAGAGTTCAAAATATCAAACATTTACCCTGAAAATATTACTTTCTAAAAAAGAACGATAAAAATCAGGCCTTGTGAAATGCTTAGGAAGCCAAGTCAAGATAACATTATAGAGAACATTTGTATTCTCTTAAAAACACAAATTTCTGGAAAAATAAGTTCTCATTTGTAAAGCTTGTTCCCCACTTATTTTTTGTTAATTCAGAAATGCAAGATATGAAAATTAGGTTACAATTCTGCCACAAATGCTTCTAAAGTAGCAAACACAAGTTCTAACGTGTATCAAAATAGCCATGTGTTCTTTGTCAATTTAAAAATGTCTTTAGAGTTCTCATTTCAAGCCAGTGTAAAATATAATAGCAATTACCTCTTCTTCAAAATATCAAATCCACAGATACAATGAACTATAATCTCAACACCAAGATGCAGCCGTGAATTGGGAAGTTATGCTTAGTTGTTACTTTTAAAACAAATTTACTGAAAATTTAAGGAAATAAGACACAAAGCACCTTTCATCAAAAACCAAATACTTTAAAGTGGCCTCAAGTGAGTAATACTAATGTTTAAATTAAAACATGACACAACAAAATTAAACCTGATGACATAATTCAGAAAAAAATGTGGTATTGCCTTCTTCTAGAAAGACAAAAACATACAATTCCTTGAACTGAAATAAATCCAACATTACCAAAATGCTTCCATTATCTAAATATCAGAAATAGTCTCTTTAAGTTTCACTTGTAGGAATCAATCACACATGGCTTAACAGATTCAGATAAATATTTTTAACTAAATATATATAGATATTAATGTAAAAAGACCACTGTAACAGCATTTTAAAGTCCTTTTAACTGTGCAAATTAAGTTAAAAATATAGAATGAACAATTTTCATAATTTTTGTTTTTTTGTAGTGCTGAAGATCAAATCCAGTGCCTCACACATGCCAGGCAAGTACTCTACCACTAAGCTACATCCATAGCCCATGATTTTTGTTTTTGAAAACAGAAACAAGGACTGTTTTCTACATGTTTTTCAATTGTGAAATGTCCTTGAATATATTTTGGAATTTATATGGCTGAATGATGTTAACTTATAAACATAGTCACTACAATAAAAATAATTACAATAAAATGGTAAACCGAACCACCAGAGCAGGCACTTTAGAACTAAAATTCATATAATAAACTGTTGGTGGTCACACACAGAGTCAACGGTCAGGACTGCAATTAAACTTCAGGACTCGGGGGTAGTGAAGCTCTGTGGTAGAGCTCAGGCTTAGCATGCACAAGGCACTGGGTTCAAACTCCAGCAGCAATAATAATTTTAAAAACAACAGCCATAGGTAAGATTCATCCACCGTAAGTATTAAATCAATGTGATCCTTTAAAAAAAGGTTGATAGTTTCCCTAACAGTTGGATTAAAAGTTGTCTTCTTTTTCTTCTTCCTCTTCTTCCCCTCACCAGAAAAACAAGTTGTACAAGAATCATGACAGAAGAGATTTTTTTAAAAAACTGAATTTTCTTTGTAATATTTTTGTGTTTTAGATGGACTCAGAATTTGTGGGATGCTGTCTAAATGACTACAACTCCTTATCCAAAACCTTCTGGGACAGATGTTTTTACAAATTCATAATCTGCTGGATTTGAAAAAGGTACCTTTGAAAAAGTACCACTCCTCCTTGGAGTCTGGCAATAACTGTAAAATCAAACCTGTTGATATTTCAAACAGGCACATGAAGTGGCATAAATAAAAATGACAACCATGCACCAGTTCAAGTTTTGTTAGTGAATGATAGCATTAAATTTAGAAAAATAAGCAAACTTAGTTTTCGAGTTTTGGGGATAAGCGAATGTGGACCTTTAACATCTCTCTGATGAAGTTTATTCCATTACATTATGACCTCTGCAAATCTACTCTTGTGCCTGACCTATATGGAATTAGGGACAGTATCTCCCACCAGAGAAAGGGGCTCTTAAATTTATTCAGACAGTAGACTACTTGAGTAAAATACTCTCTCTGACAATAATCTGAAAAGAATATATTTACTGTAATAACTACCAACTCGTTAATTTTATTAAATCCAACATCACCTTAGACTAGATTTTAATATAGATCAGCAGAGGGTACCAACATTCAAGGAGCATTTATAAGAAAAGAATAAAACTGAGCAAAGTATAAATATGAGTATTACTTAGGAAAATACATTATACCTTTTTAGCAGCTGCACAAAGTGACTCCACATAGACTGCAAACTTTGGCTATAAAAGACTGAAAGATTTCAAAAACCATTTTGGTATCAACAAACTCCTGCAAATTGTAATCAAGTTATACCAAGGAATTTACATATTAAATAATAAATTATTCTGTATTTATCATTGTCTAAATTTGCTATGCACAGATCTTGATAGATACCATGGAGCCATCTTATTATTTAAAAATTAAGTCACTTTTTAAAGTCAAAAAACTTCTAAAGCTCAAAAGCAAAAAAAAGCCTAGATATAATTTCTATGTCTTTTTTTTTTTACAATAAAAAAACTTTTCTTCTTCAAAGGTAGAAGTCTTTTCCCATCCAAGGGAACTGGAATGCACTATGTATACACAGGGATGAGGGGATGGACATAAGATGTCCTGACGTCACAGGAGCGTATGGACAAACAGGATGCCACACTGGAGGAGGACCGGGACCGGTAATAGGCACTTGCTGTAGAAATCCATGAAATGAATAGGTCCTGTAACCCAGACACAGCATTCACATGGCTAGAGGATTTCCAGGGCTTCACAAACGAATGAGTGGGCTTCTGTAACATGTGGCAGGAAGACACTGTTCTCGGGTCAGTGGGAGAGTCATAGAAAAATGGGTGACAGCTTTATTTAAAAAAATGATTATCTTCAGAATTATCCATCTCTTTTCTTAGTGAGTAAAATTTAAATATACAATCATCACCCTTTCCTAAAAGCTACATATATGCTACTAGGTTAAGAATGTCACACTTTTTATTTATTTTTTATTTGTTTTAATGAATTCATGAATTAATTTAAAAAGTCAAAAATCTCAGCTGGTCTTTTTCTTCTTTTACAAAAATATTACAGCAGTATAAGCAAAGTTGGACAAGGGAGAGAAAGGAAGGACAGACGATGAACTTCAGCTCATCATGGCTATTGAAACTGTAAACTTCTGTAAGCATCTAAGATTTTATTTCCTCCTCAGAAAACACTAAGGAGGCTGCCTTTCTCCATGAATGAAAACTAAAAAGTCCTAAGCATCAGTTGGAAGAAGACAAGAGAGCACTGTTTCCCTACTGGAAAAGACTGATCTCCTTGCCTTCTGCTGCATTGCTCTCTCCCATCCCCCTTGGAGCTTTGTGGGATCAAAGAGAGAGAGGTTCTACTGGCAGCACAGCAAGCGTGACAGGTGTCCAGACTTATTGGCAATGCAGACAGCTCATCTTGAGTAAAATACACCAAGTAAGAAGAAAACCAAAGCCCAGAAACCCATACACTGCCTTTCATGGAAAGTTTCAAAAGGCCATCAAGACTTCTTATGTGCCATAAAGTACATCTCTGGACTTTATCTCTATAAAGGGGGAAAGGAATAAATAGAAAAAATTCCACTTATCATTCTGAAATTCCATTCTCTACCCTGTTGACACGCTATTAGTTCTCACACTACCACTGCTCCACCTCAAAGATCTCCTACTCCATATTTGCATAGTGTTAATCATATCCTCTGGAGTTGGACTTCTACCTCTTTGCCTGGAGCCAGATTTATGAAGAGCACTGGTCCAATTTTACATATTCAAAACAAGACAAGTATCTGTAGGCTAAAAATTGGGTCCCATGTAGCAGCAAGCTGTTTGAATTATTTGGAAACAGTTTTTTTTTTTTCTCAAGGGTAAGAATTAGGCAGTTTTGTCTGCAATTTCAGATTTTGTTCTCTGCATCATACAACGACGAACTATGCCGTCAAAACTTCCAAGGTAAAACAGAGCAATAGTGCGGAAAAGGCCCATAGTGACTACCTGCAAAACAAAGAGAGACCTTTTAGTTTATCCAACATCCAACAGTGCAATACAATAGTTCACTTCATTTCAAGGTACTGAGGTCTCTGGTAAATAGTTTCTAGGACACATCTTCTAATCTGTTCCAAGGATAAGTATAATGAAAACTTTGTAAATGTCAGTAAGTTCTGAGAACAGAATATGCCTGCTCTGTACCCACTGTATAGCACTGAGCCTGCCAGAGAGATAAAATATTTGTCTGATTAATAAAATTCCAATCATAAAAAGAACAAAATGGTATTCTTAGCAGCACAGGACTGTAACTGCTAGGGAAACTCCACTGTAGCATCTCAAATAGCAGAACTACAAACATTGCTTCTTTGGTTCAAGATTTATGTTCTGAGAATAAGAAGGAGCCCCTACACTGGGTGCTAAGACACAACCATGCCCTCCTTTTGAGTTTTTTTTTTTCCTTCCCTTTTTAAGATCGCCCTGTTGCCCTGGCTGGCCCTGAGCTCCTCCTGCGTAGCTAAGACTACAGGTGGGCACTTTTAGACTTGAGAATGTTTGCTAATTGGAAAGACAATGAAGTAAAAAGGAGGTTAATATTTCAGGTTCAAGGCAATAATTAACTATATCCATTTACTCTCTGACTTCCCTTTAACAAATTCTCACTAAAGCAAATCGAAGTGGGACTCTGAAAAGATGTAAAACGATAAGGAGAAGGAGGTACATTTTCAAATGTACCAGGACTCAAAAAAATTTGTCTCCCAGATTCCAACTCCCTCTTTCCTGGAAAGCTACTAGAAGAGGTAAACAAAATAAGGGGATCAATAAAGAAAAACACTATCATAGGTCCAGGAAACAAGGGACCAAACCTAGGACAGGCAGAGGTATTTTCCAGGACCACCAGGAAAGGGAGAAGCCAGGCCTCAGCTTTGCACCATGCCTGGGCAGTGATGGGGACTGACAGGCACCAGGCTCCACGAGGAACTCCTTGCTGAAGGCAAGGAGCACCACGGCTGGTATTTCTGAATACTGTATGTCAAGAGGAGATGAAGCTGGTCAGTGAAGAATTTAAGACTGAACTAGTAATAGACAGAAACAGTACATAGGAAAGGATCAAAAATAATTTCAGGGAAAATAAAAATGGGTTTTTTGAACAGGAAAAGTAATCATCATATATGACACACACACATGGCACTCAACTCTGAATAGTATTTAAGTAATCAGAAAAATGATCTCAAACACACATCTAACCAAAATGACGGTAAGACAGAATGACAATGTAAATAATATAACAAAGAGAGGGGGGAGGAGGACGGGAAGGAGAGGAGTTAAGGCCTCATGTCTCACAGTGAAGGCAACAATCTGACGTACCAACCAACAGAGAAAGATCGAGGGAGGTGTACAGTCTGGGGAAGGGAGGAAATCTGCTACGAGAACAGGAGCAGCTGCCTGGAGAAAGGTGCAGAGGAGGAATCTGAAGGAGGGCCCACTGTTTATCTTTCTTCACTTTCTTTTTCTTTTTGCAATTTCTTTTTCTTTTCTCTTCATTCCTAGGCATTGAATCCAGGGCCTCACACATGCTATGCAAGTGCTCTATCACTGAGCTACAACCCCAGCTATTTATTTTATATTTTTAATTTAATTTATTTTGAGACAAGGTTTTGCTAAGTTGCCAGTGCTGGTCTCAAATTTGCAATCTTTCTGCCTCAGCCTCTGGAGTAGCTAGGATTAAAAATGTGAGCCACCATGTTTAACAAGGGTCCACTGTTTCTGAGCAAATTGTGAAAACTAGTTTCAAACTAGGGTAAATTGAAAAATATAAAAAACAAAGGAAAGCTAGCAAGGGCCAAACTATGAAGACAGTAAAAAGGTCACGGGTAGGCCAAGGCCAAGGTGAAAGATGAAAAGATGCCATTCAGTGGAACTTCAGCACAGTGAAATTATTCTGCATGACCTTGTAAAGGCAGATATGTATTACGCATTTGTCAAAATCCACAGAAATGCATAATACCAAGAATAAACTGCAGTGTAAACTGAGAGCGTTAGTTGATAATAATATGTCAATACTGGTTCACCACCTGAAATAGGGGTGTAACACTAAGGGATGATGTTATTACAGGAGAAACTGTGTGTGAGGGGGCTATATATGGGAACACCGTACTTTCTACCCAAGTTTTCTATAAACCTAAAAACTGTTCTAAAAAACAAAACTGATTATTTTTTTAAAATACGAGAAGGAGGGCCTTGAGAAAAAGCCAATTATAATACAGCCATATAAAGAACTACCATAGGGGTAAGAACAGGAGTTTTGCAGTAAAAGCAAAGTTGCAGTTAAGACGTGAAGGAAGATTAGAAGTCGGCTAGATAAAAGGAAATCTGGGGATGAAGGCCAGAAAGTCCCATAAAGAATACGGGGAGGAGGGTACAGAAAGAAAGAAAAGGAGCTAGAAAGGTTAGAGGGGCTGGCCACTCAGAGGGTTTGTGTCATGTGCTGGGATTGACACTTCATCCTGATGGTACTGGGGAGCCACAGAAGGCTTCATGCAGGCTAGATCTGCGGTTAGAAACACAGGTGGAAAAAGTTGATGGCACACTCAAATGCATCCGGCAGGCCTGGGCAGGGTGTTGTAGACCAAGGGGTGGGGGTGCAGGGACTGTTATAGAGGAGCAGCTGCCACTTGTCTCCACTGATTACTGCCTGCTGAGAACGCAGCTCTTGTTTAGCCAGATCTGATTTGCCAAGAAAAGTCTTAAATCTAAACATTTTATGTAAAAATCTTATTCTGAAGCTAAACACACACACTCAAGCCAGGTGAACCCAAACAATGTTTTTCAGGGCCCTGGGAGGTTCATTAACAACATACAAAGTACACAACTCAGTATAGGGTCAACTGTAAGAATCCAGGCCTGACTTCTGGAAACAGCAGTGTGGCCACTAACAGGGAGAGGATAAGGCTGGGAAGCAGGGGACTCCTGAAGAGAGAGGCAGCAACTATACCTCAGCTTCTGGCTGAGGTGAGTGAATGTGTGCACTAATCATGGAGACGGAACCAGGGTGGTGGGAGGTGGGGGAAACTACAGAATGCTGGGAAAATAACAAAGCTCTGCTGAACTGGGTATGCGGTCATTTTCCAGGGAAAATACCTAAAAGATGCTGGCACAAAACTGGAGTCAGGAGGTAGGTATGGGCTGGACTTTACATGTGGCATATTTATGCGGAAGCAGCAACCGTGAGGAGAGGCTGAGTCTGCCCAAGGAGAAGGTATGGACTTGTGCACTAACCCGACTCAGCCACTCTGAAATTTCTGTTCAGTGCAGACCTTTGCTGCTGGGGCACATGACACACAAGAGAGATGGGCACCCTGTCTCGAAAGAGCTTACATCCACTGCAGTCTACTCGTCAGGAAAAAATGACAAAATGGTGGGTATTATCTAGGGTGAGGAGAAAAAGACTTAAGAAAAACCATGAGGAAAACTAGCAATAAAATCATTTGCCTTAGTCTTACGTGGTCCCCTGCATAGAAGTTAATGCTGTGTTATAAACCAACCCTTAGCTTTGCCTTCCAGAGCGATCTCACTATTACAACTCTAATTATACTACCCTGTAATAGTAATATCCTTCTCATCAATCTCTCCCACTAGACTGCAGGAGGCCTGAGGTTAGCGGTTGCCTAACATCTCCAGAGTAAACAGCACCAGAATGCTCTTCAGTAAACAATTAATTCCATTAATTTGTGTGCCCTGGACAAAACTGTAAATTCCTAAGGGGAGGGATTGTATTTAATTCTTGATTGTGTCTCCTTTGGCTTAACTACGGGTGACCCAATTCACCAAAGAATGATTTCTAGTCTAGCATCTCCTTTGTAGGCAGGCTCACCCTAAACGACTGTCAACAGAGATCTCCAGTTTTCCAACATTTTAGAGCAGTAGTTCTCAGGTGAAAATCTAGATTAACACTCAACAGCAAGATGGCACTTTATCTATCAGATATGACTGAAAAATACAGTGAATTTACTTTTTTAAAATTTTATTACAGTAAAAGACACATTGCTATTAATCTCCCTCAAAATACTCCCGCTCTCTTTGAACACACATATTCCATCATTCTTGCCCCTTTCTGAAGCAGTTCTGGAAGTCTTATTTTGTGAGTGTTTTTAGTTACTGTCATAGTTGCCTTGGTGTCCTGAATTGATTCAAAATGTTGGTATTTCAGGGCTATTTTGATTTTGGGGAAGAGACAGAGTTGTACAGTGCCTCATCTAAAAAAATAGGTAGAGAAGGACACATCATAATTTTTTGTTGACAGAAATTTCTGTAAACATTTTGAATCAATTCAGGACATCAAGACAGTCATGAAAAGACACTCACGAAAAAGGACTTTCAGAACTGCTTAAGAAAGGGCCAAGAAATGTGGTAAGTATGCTTGAAATGAGGGAAGAGTATGTAAGGGGGGTTAAAGGCAATGTGTCTTTTACTTAATAACCTTTTAAATTTTTAATTTAACCATTCAGCGTAGTTTTTTACCACACCTCTTACTGACACGGTCCAGCATGGAAAACTTCTTCTCTGCCTATATTCCTTATATTATATTCTTAATCTACTTCCTATTATTGCTAGTAGAGGAAAAGAAAAAGTTAATAGCTCAATAAAATTTTTTCATGTTCTTAAATAAAGTTACTTAGTCTATTCTTAGCTTCTTTTAACAGAGGTCTGATTCAATGCAGTTTTTGTTTGTTTGTCTGACTGCTGGTCAAGGCAGAGCTTACTTGCTGGAGTCCTTCAGTGATGGAAGTTACTGGAGCCATCCCACAGGTCAGTGATGAGAGCATGTACCCATCTGAGCCGATGGAACTATTAAAATTTCCTTGCTAAAAGAAAAGGAAGACAAAAGGATTGCAGTAAATGGAAAGGAATCAATTCAAAACTAGAAAGAATGAAGTGTGTTCATTCACATTAGGTGAAATAGGATAGTACAAAGCATGTATTAGGACCATAAATAGATATATACCCTTGCCAAATGGGCAGTTTCAAACCGTGAGTCTACAGAACCCCCAAGAAGTCCCAAGATTCTTTCAGAGTTACCTATGGACAAAATGATTATCAAAATACTAAAATATTAATTGCCTTTTGTCTTAGTTAATTTTCTTGTTGCTGAGACAAAATACACAACACCCAAAGGTAAAAGGAGAAAAGGTTTACTTCAGCTCACAGTTTGTAGAGGTTTCAGTCCAAAATAGGCTGGCTCTAAAGCAGAATAGCATAGCAGAGGGGCATTGTAGAGGACAAACCATCCATGCCAATGCAGGGCAGGCAGAAGGTACCCGGCAGTGAAGCAGCAACCAGCAAGGGACAAGCAACAAGCAATAAGCGATGACCCTCTTTCTGTCCCTTATATTACATTCTTACTTTAGAGCAGTAGCACTCACACCCAGGGTGGCACACCCTTAATCATACCCAGAACTAAGTCAAACCAATCAATGGGCTCATACAGTGATCACATACTCTTAATCCCAGCATCACACACGCTAGATCCAGCTACCTCTGAAACAGTCCCACCTATGAACTGCATGAGGCTTTGGGTGGACATCTACACGTAAGTCACAACATTCTGCCCTTGGCACCAAAAAGATTCATGCACATCCCTTTATGCAGAAGGCATTTAGTCCATCTCCAAGAGCTGCCAAAATCCTAACAGTTTCAGCATTGCTGAAAAGTTCAAATCCAAAGTCTCATCCAAGATGTAAAGCAAACTCTTAGCTGCAAGAGCCTTACAGGGTGGGGCAAGCTTAATCCTACCCAGAACTATGCCAAACCAATCAGTGAGTGACATGGTGATCACACACCCTTAATCCCAGCATCACATACTTTAGATCCAGCCACCTCTGAAAAAGCTGCATGAGGCCGTGGGGAGTATGTAGACACAAGCCATAACACCTTTCTCACCTGAGTAACATCTGCACTGACTTGGAAAACTGCTGGGGCACAAACCCATACCAATGTTCTAGATACAGAACTAGAAATTACCATCACTTCCACTACCACATGTCCTTTCAAGGATAATAAATACACAAGGAAAATACAACTTTTACAAATACTTAAAAATTTTCAAACATGTCCATTTTACTTAAAAATGTCTTTGATAAAGCAGGGCAAATTAATCACTTTATTACATCACAACTCTTAAAGATAGAGCTCCTCCATATAGTCCCCTCCTCAGTCCCGTTCTTGGTTTCAGTTACCCATGGCCAAAGTCTAAAAATATTAAATGGAAAATCTCATAAATAAACAACTCATAAGTTTTAAATTGTACGTTGTTCTCAGTAGCAAGATGAAATCTCATATTATCCAGGACACAAGTGATCCTTTTGTCCAGGGCACCTGACATCTAATTCATAAATTAAACTTTCTATATATAGGAAAAAGACATAGGGTTCAGTACCACCTGCAATTTCAGACATGCCCTAGAGGTCTTGGAACATGTCTCTAAAGATGCAGGGGAAACTGATGTAGTCCATGTGACAAATGAGAAACTTGCATAAATTGCTTCTGTTATATTTCTGCTATGTCATTCTGGCTCTAAAGCAGAATGGCACAGCAGAGGGGCATCATAGAGGACAAACCATCCATGCAGGACAGGCAGAAGGTAGCCAGCAGTGAAGCAGCAACCAGCAAGAGACAAGCAACAAGCAACAAATGATGACCCTCTTTTTGTCCCTTATATTACATTCTTACTCTTAGAGCAGTAGTACTAACACCCAGGGTGGTGCACCCTTAATCATACCCAGAACCAATCAGTGGGCTCATACAGTGATCACATACTCTTAATCCCAGCATCACACATGCTAGATGCAGCTACCTCTGAAAAAGTACCAAAGGAGTACCAAAGGACAATGATCACCTTGAAGAAAAGCTCCTGTGCAACTGTTCAAGAGCTGAACTTGCGGCTATACATGGAGCACCATTTTCACAGGAAAGACCTACTGACACGAAAACTAAACTTTTTCAGACTTGCAGAAAATGAAGTGAGCCTGTCACTTGGAGGAAGATAACTTGATGCATTTGTAGGTGATGTTAAAATCTAAGCTTTCAAGGAGAAATTAAGATCTGTAAAACTTGTATCTACCATGGTGAGAGTATGGGCTTCCCAGTACATATTTTTATGATAACAGCAGCAGTGATTTTGATGAATGTGATTTTTTTATAATTCAGTGAACCCATATTTTCCAAATGACTAACGCATGTTATAAAATCATGAATGGGCAAAGGATCCATTCAAAGTGTGAAAGAGACTGATGGATTTTAATGTCACAAAGAACAAAAAGTTCATTGATGTGGTTTCCAATTTCACATTGTAACTAACCTTTAAGGAACTGTTATTTGTTGAGTTTGGGTTTAGTATCAAAAAAGAAAATCCTCCCTGAAATATCTGAAAAGCCTAGTAAAATACTTCCACCTCACCCAACTATGTATCTGTGTAAGGTCAGATTTTCTTCATTTTCTCTAATCAAAACAACACAGTATAACAAACTGACCATAGAGTAGATAAGAATCCAGCTAAAATCTACTAAGGATTTTAAGGTCTATGTAGACATTAAAGCAACTAGTGAAAATATAAAACAATGCCACTCTTTTTACTGAATTTTTGTTTTGAAAGATAATTATTTTTATAAAAAACATCAACGAAATGTAATAGACTTATTCTTGTTTTACAAGACTTATTTTCTTGAATTACAACTAAATACTTTTAAAATTACACTTTCAATTTCCCATATGGCAAATATCAATAAATATAACCCAGGGAAACAAAAGCTCTCCAAGAATGTCAATAATTTATGAGTGTAAAGGTCTCAAGAGAAGAAAAAGTTTGCAAAACACCACACAAAATGAATTCTTCTATGAATGGAAGAGCTACTTAGGATCCTTAAAAACCCACACTGTATTGGCTTTGACTTAAAATAAGCAGGAAAAAAAAAAAAAAATCACACCTGTGCCACCTGTCTTTGTCTTATGATTAAGGCAATCCAGATAGAGTTGTTCACTTCCAAAACTATTTTGATAAAGGTTTTTATTTTCTGGATTCTGCTCAGCTTGGCCTCACACAATCAAATATGCACTATTTCAAGGCTGCACCACAAGGCCCTGATGCCTCTCATTCCAATCGTCCTAAAGATTTTCCAAGGTCAGTGTGGGCTTCCGATTCCCAGACATCCCTCAGAAATGTACATTTTTCTGCATGTGAGCTAACAGCACTGCTGTCAAAAGGCATGTGGCACACATGTTGTGCCACAAAACAGCACATGGGTTCCAAAAGATCCCACTGGTGATTCCCAGGAAACTCAGTAGCTGAAAAAGCACATCAGCTAGGATGACAGGATGATGGGCTCCACAGGCCAGCTGCACTTTCTTTAGTTAATTGGGAAAATAATACTTAAGAGGCAGCAAGGGGAAAGAAAAACCCTTAATCAATGAACCTGGCAATAACATTTTTAGAATAATTTAAAAATGAAAATACTGTGAGAAAGAAGACAACAAACCTTACATAGTATACATTGCTTATACCTCACATCTAAGTCTTATCTCCTTCTTCCAGAACTGAAGTTCCAAATAGCCGTACTGATACATCTGTTCTAAGATCAAGGTATATAATTAGTTTCCAGGAACCCACTATCAATATGGAATCAATAAAGTGTCCAAAGGAAGAACGGGGAATCTCTTAGACATGATAAATCTGATCCAAAAGATTACAGTAATTTTTGTTATGAAGGAAGGCCTTGAAGAAATACCTTTTTAGAATACAGTATAATGACAAATAGTATAGAAAACAAATCAAGTATTTTACTTACTATGGCATCTTTAACAATTTGTTTGGCCACCTGTTCTGGTTTGCAAAGACTTGTGGTCTCTGAAATAAGTCGAGTCTCCAAAGGCTAGAAGTAGAAAATAATGTACATATCAATGCTGTCATTCCCCATTACATTAAAAACAACTCCTACAGCCTCGTGAGTTATAAATAATTCTAAATTTCTACCTTCAAGCGGATTCCTATTTTTAGATTTTTTTAAAATTCCTATTTTTAGTCCATCATCATCTTCTATCTACCTGGTAACTGGAACACTCAGCCCAGTAGCTGGAGGAAGCCCTTACTGTTCTCTGTAGAACGTGTGTGGTCTCTGCCTCAATGAAGACCATCAAAGCTGGACTGAGAATGCATCACTGGGTACCAGTTCAGGAAGGATCCTCTTGGAATCCTCACTGCTAGTCAGACACCTGACCAATGCTGCACAGCCAAAGGCTGCACCCTGCATCTTGAGCAACTGTGCTCCCAGGACAACACTTCTATTCTGACCAGACTGCCATCGGCAGATGACTGATGCTGGGGGACAGAGCTCAGGTGCTGGGCAGGGATGATCTCACACCAACCCATGTGGTTTCTTAAAAGACCACAGGAGCAGTAATGGCCTGTAGTTGGGTGCATGTTAGTTACAGGGCTGGATTCAACTCCAAATCCGGGCCTTCTGTTCTTCAACTGGTGTTCAAAGGTCTATCTCAAGTCTCACCTATTTCAATATGCCTTTCTGAATTCTTGATTTGTAATAATCAATCTTTCTCTCCTTTGAACATTTCTGCCTTAGTATATATCACAGCTACTTCTGTATTTAAATTTTACCTGCAAAATTTCTTGTGAGCCAGGTCTTTTTTCTCTAATTTTTCTCTCATTTTTCTCTGATTCTTCTCTGTGGCCTTGCACACTTGTGCTTAAAAGTTCTTTAAAAGGGACTTTCAAACTAAAGCCTTAAACTGCAGTACACCGCAAATTCTGTTCACACATAGGCTTAGAAAAACAAAATAAAAACCAGACTAGAGATAGGCACAGTGCTACACGCCTATAATTCCAGCTATTCAAGAACCTGAGGCAGGAAGATCACACGCTCCAGACCAGCCTGGGTACCTTATTGAGACCCTGCCTCAAACTAAGAAAAAAATTTTTTTAAATCTTGGGTTCAGTCCCTAGAACTACCCAAACCAATAACTACATTGTATTTCCTTAAAACAGAAAAGCAAAGCCTTTCATTAAAGTCAAATATTGCTTGATGAACTTAAGGAAAGAGAAAGGCCCCTTTGAGGGGCCACTATTTATTCTCTCAGACCACAAGGCTGGAATGGCCAAGAAAGATACACATGAGATTGAAAAGTACTATGTCGCCCCCTAATGGGCCTATGCATGGATCAACGCAGAATTTTATATACCAGAAAAAGTTTGCCAAAACTTTATTAGAGGTAAAAACAAAACAAAACAAAACAAAAAAAAAAACACATCAAAACCAAATTTTGGAGACATCACCTCCCTTTGTCAGCTCTGGCTTCCAACTAAAAGACTATATACCAAATGCTACAAATCTAACTAGCAGATCTCTGCTTATTCTTAAGGCAGATGTATGCCTTAAATCTATGCCTTTAAGAATAGTAATTTGTTAAAAGGCAGTATCAAAAAAAAAAGAAAAGGAAAAAAAAAAAAGGCTTCTAAATCATAAACACCCTTTTTTAAAAACCTGTAATATACAGTCCATGGAATGTAGGTGCCAATTTTTGTAGTATGGAGGCTCATACTAAGTATTACTACAAAAAAAAAATCTAAAACTAAAATCACCCTCAATTAAATGAGTAATTCTGATTGATTCCTTTTCTCTACTCAGATCCCAAGTCATCTCCCTTGTGAGGACAGAGGATTAGCTGTTTAACCTGAAACTCTTAATTCTAGGACACGGGCCACCACTCACAGCAACAAGGAGGTGCACTGCTGCAGAGAGAAATAATAGGGCCAGGGATACAGCTCAGTGGCACAGTGCCTGCCTGACAAGCACAAGGTGCTGAGTTTGAGTCTTGGGACCAAAAAAAAAAAAAAAAAAAAAAAAAAAAAAGGAAATACTAGGAAGGGGTTAGGACTGAATGGTGAGCTCCCTGACCTCCTGCCCTGCTTGGGCCCCAGAGCACAGATGCTGTTCTGACTCTTCCAGAGGCAGGGAACACACAGTTTCTCACTGGGGAACCTGACTCAGCCCTGAGAAAAGGTGAGCAGATGCTGAGGCAAGGGAGCCTTCCACTGAAATGGCCATTTCCCCTGACTGCCCTCTAGTGAGGCAAAAAGTTGAGATGCCAGAGCTTTACAAGTGGCCATTTTAGTACCTCACTCAGATGGGGATAACCAAGGAACACCAGACACATGAGGAATGTGAAAAACAACAGAGAAAAAAAAAACTTTGAAGAAAATGATAATACACAACACAGAAGACACGTGGTCGTTTTGGCAGCACATTTACTAAAATATGATACGAAAGAAAATTAAAACAGATTCTGAGATGAATTCCTGAGTGCAGCTCTCAGATGCATTCAGGAAGAATCGATCGATCCTCTCCATGCTGGCTCTCCCAGTATGGTGGGGACTGGGTTCCAAGAGCAAGTGTTTACAAGCAAGAGGAAGTTCAAGCTGCCAACCTCTTCAGTTTTTGAACAACGTCACTTCTACCAGTTGTTTGAACTGCGGAATCTGCCAAGGTGTAAGACAAGGGGACTTAGAACCTACCTCTCCTTAACAGTATGAGGAAGAATTTTGCAGCTGGGCATGGTGGCACTCCGCTATAATCCCAGCTCTCTGGGAGACTGAGACAGAATCAGTTTTTTTTTTTTTTTGAAGAATCACAATGGTACTATGTAGATCAAGACGCCCGGTAAAGCAAATGCTTCCAAGAAAAAGTCTCAACAGTTTAAAAATTCAAAAAGGAAAACTGATGACGAAGTGGAGTTGTCTGAGAAAGAGGTTAGAAATACAATGAAAAGTAAAAATCATCCAAAGCCTATGTCTTCTGAAGGACAAATAAAGCATATTAATTTAAAACAGATAAAGATCACATCCAACAAGAGAAAACCCTGGTAACCTCTTTCAAAGAGTACGAGGGAGCATTTGAAAACTATGATGGAAGCAGTAACAATAGCAATTTGGAATAATATTAAAGAAAAAGAACAAACACAGTATCATCTCCCTGCCTGAAGAAAAAAAAGGTTGCTACAACTGTGTGAAACCCTGAAAGTCCCTCCTCAAAAGCTGAAATATTTAACAAATGTGTCAAGTCTTCTGGAAATGGAAAGAGCACAGGACAGACCTAATGAAGAAGGTCTGGCATTACTGCAGGAAGAAACAGCAGAGCACAGACTACAAATCAGTGACTGGAAATATTCTGGCAAATCAGATGGTAGAAGAGGAGGAAAAGACAAAAAGAAGCTTCAAATGGACAGATGTAGCATACTATCTCTCCCAGAGCTTTCTCAGAGCAGTCTGAAAGCCCCACACTGCAGAGAGAGATTGTGATGCCAATGCCAAACCAGCATGCTCTTGTGCAAGCTTGGATGTTCTTCCTAATTCATCTCATATGAAGAACATGTCAATATTCATCGAAGAAGCATGTAAGAATCTAAATACCTCTTGAAAAATTTTTTATATTGTTTTCTATTAACAGTGTTTATAAATTTATAGAACTGTTCACCTGTGATGTTACAGAGGCTGAAGCTTCTACAGGATTTATTATCCTCTAATATCCACTTTAAAATTGGCCTTGGTAGGACTATCATTAGCATCTGATATAGTCCTGAAAACTCTGTTTTTAGCAGTTATAAAGTCTAGAAAATCAACTTTCATATTCCTGTACTGCAGTTACTTGCTCATAACCATAAAACAAGAACAGCCATGATCTGATAGTTTATGATGGCTAAGTGGAGGTCATCTATTAGTTTGCACATGGAAGTTGTGACCTTATGCATTGTATATGTGAAGTGCTTATGTGTAGCACCTAATGAATAAAAATATGAAGGTCTGCCATCAAAAAAAGAAAGAAAATTAAAACAACACTGTCATTAAAAAAACTAAGACCAAAATCCCAGAATGAGTATCTTTAGAAATAAAATATGAAACTCATGAACAAAGGGATGAAGCTGTAATTTTTAATATTCAAAGAAAACAGCAGTAAATTTTTATGTATTTCAGCAGAAATAAAAATTTCAACTGCAAAGCTAAAGCACAAGGAAAATGAGAAAAGAGAAGGAAGAGGATAGATCTGGAAAATTCAACATCCTGAGTAATAGAAGCTCCAGGAAGAACACTTGAAATACTTTGTATGGAAAGAAATTGTCAGAAAAGCACTATGAAATGTTCCAGAACTGAAGTTCATGAGCTGACAGAATAAAAGGGCTCATTTAAGTGCCTAGCTTATGAAAACACCCTGCCTCAAAATATATTAAATAAATATAAAAAAGGATAGAACGCTTCCCCCAAAATAGGTCCTATTAAAACTGTTGGCATGGGCTTACCAACAGAAACCAGAAGCTATATGTTAAAGGAGAAATGCCTATAAAAATCTGAGAATGCATTATTGATAATCTAGAATTCTGCACCCAACAAAACAATGTATTAGCAGGATAAAAGGAAAATAAAGGCTTCTTCAGACATGAAGATTCCAAATAAATGCTATCCCTGACGTATACTTTCTCAGGAAATTACTCAAGCTCCACTAATGTGGGCAGATACATGACTAAACTGGAAAACACAGGATCCAACACAGGAAAAGGGAAACCACAGTACAACGGCAAAGAGAAGGGTCAAGAGCACTGCCAAGCGGCGTTGGGCCAGGAAGGCAGAGGGCCCCACAGAAACATCTCTGAGGAAAAAGGAATCAGAGTACTAGAAAACCCCACGTGTCCAAATGGATTAAAAGGAGACTGTCAGTTCTGTCTGACCTGGGATTGAATAAGTTACAGATAAGTACGAAGTTAAGCGCAAAAACAGACAAGAAAAGAAATGTCACTACAGAAAGGCTCGGGTGTGAATAGTATTTATAAAGTTCCACTAATAAAAACACTGAATCTGATTTAACTCGAAAGTACACAGGGGGGCTGGGGATTTAGCTCAGCGGCAAAGCACCTGCCTGGCAAGCGCAAGGTCGTGAGTTCGGTTCCCGGTACCGGAGAAAAACCAAAAAAAAAAAAAAGAAAGTATACAGGAAGAACACAGCGAGTGGGGAATAGATGAGTCTTAAATTTTATCTTCCATAGCAGAAAGTCAATAAATAATCTCTACATCTTTAAAAAAGTAGTGGCAGTAAAAACACATTTATTCATTAAGTAAATGGCTGCTTCTGAGGATTGGAGAAGGAAGAATGAGGCAAAAAACTGAAGTTGGGCAACTGATGAGGTAACAGAGCACCTTGAAGAATTTCAACCAAAATTTAAATTAAATGTTAAGAAAGGGGGGTGGGGAAGAGAGGAGGGAAAGGTGGATGTCATGCGGAGAACCTCAGCTAAGTCCTCAGGTGCCCAACAGACACCTAGAAACGCCAGTGACTGACAAACGACCTTAAACTGGAAAAAAGGAAAGAAGTATCAGAAAAGAGCTTTGCAACATTAAAGACTGAGAAGGAAGGTGAAAACTGCTGACCTTTGTTTTGTTCTCCATGGCAAGCCCAGGGGTGTCCGTGTCTGGGGGGTAGGCCACGGTGACGTAGACGTTGTACGGCTTCACCTGCATTGGGGGCACAAAGTTTGCACTTCAGTGCGGGAAGCACACCTGTGCGTCTACCCACCAACCTGCTCACTGCCCTGATTCTCAGATGGTGGTGAGACCAACAGGGTGATTCTGTTAAGTGGAGAACAACCACCAACCGCACAGGAAATCCCTCCTCATGGAAACGATTCAGAAAAGGTGGCAAACGGCTTCTCCTGACCTCTATGCCACAGAACCCACTGACCAGGCAGGGCACCAGGAGCTGTCCACTGAGGACAGCTGTCTACTCACCCTCTCAGACTCTGCATACCATCCAAGTGTTGTTATACGGCAAGGGGAAAGGCCTACTCCTTATCCACCAGACTGTACAAGTGTTTACCTCTGCAGGCTGCTTCAGATATTCTTGTTTTGATAATTTCATCTATCAGCTATGTTATGGTCCCTTATGGCCCTCTACAGCTCAATTAGAACTACATCCATCCTGGGAGAAGTCTTATTCAAGAAATCCTGCACAGCCAGGCCCTGCCCCTCAGGAGGTCAGGAGCCACTTCCTCCCTCACAGTACTAGCCAAGAACATTCTTACTCTGGGTGGAACTCCTAAGTCAGACTTGCCGAGCGACTCTTCTGCTGACAACGACAATCACCACTTACATATAGAAACTCCTTCCCTGTTTTTTAACAGATCTTCCTTCTATCTGATCTGAATCTCCATCTTGCTCCTCGGACACCTGTCTATCTTGACACCATGCCTTTATATTTAACTCCCTCACTCACAGACACACTCCCGATAACACAGTGGATGCTTCTGTTGGTCAGCCACAACATAGTCTACTCAAAGGCCACGTGACAGCACCCCTACTGCATGCTCTCATCTTGCCCCTATAATTATCAACTTCCAGGGCAACAGTTCACACCTTCCAAATGTCTATCTATGCCACGATTTTTATTTGCTATTGGCTCACTTTTGAGCCCCATGAAGACATCCAGGAGACTTGGAAGTGAAGGCAGCTAGTAGTACAGTCAGCTCCTGAAAATCTTGAGGGTAAATTCACATTAGACTGAAAATGGAAAACATACAACAGCTTGGAGTTTCCCAGGGACTTGCCTTATCATCCGCCTTTTTCTCCCAAGTGCCCTCAGTGAAGCACAGTTCCAAAGCCATATGGGAAGCACAATAGCACAAGGGAGATCTCTCTGTTCGTTTTGTTCCAATGCAGCCAGCACCTTAGAGAGCTCATCATTTAGCATTGGCAGGGCATGCAGCCTTTTGGTGCAGCTATGCTCATAAATGGCCATGGACAGGGGCCAGCAGGGTGGCTGATGAGCAAGCAATTTCCCTTCCACTTGTTTCTCGGACGAGACTTTAAAAAATGAGCTTCCCACGGCCTTGCTCTCCACTGCACATGGACCAAAGACAGCACAAGAAAGCTAGTAAGTGGTAATTAGACAGTCCACATAAGAGACTGACGCCTGCCACTCCACTGGCATCATTTCTATGTCTGTGTCCCTCACCTAAGTAAGAAAGGGACATGGTGTCTAAGCCAGTGTATGTCAGTGTTTCAAAGCAGTGTTTCTCAGTTTTTCAGAACACTTTTTCCAAGGCTGGGACTAAAGATTGCTAGAGCTGAGGGAGACAGTCCATTCTGGGCTGGCATCCTCTCTACAATCAACAAGCCAAGTGAGTCTCCCATGCTTCCAATGCTAACATCACTTACACAGACTTTTTTTTATTTATCTAACAATGCCTACCGACTAAACTATCATGTGCCAATGTTGTTCTAAGAATGAGGCATACAGGTATAAACAGAACAGATATCATCTCTGTCTTTACAGAACTTCTGCTCTTCTAAAATTCTTGGTCATATAATTTGCTAATATCTAAATCCACTATATTTATACCTTCCTTTAACTAGTAATCTCATTGTCCTATCAAAAAAAGGAAAGGAGGGTGGTTTGGGTTCAGTTGTTCTTAGTAACACCTGACATCACTGCTTTTCTAAGAAGGTAGAAGCCAGGTCTCCATTAAGCAATCCCCTGCTTAGCTGGACAATTACCTGCTGCTCCTGTCTCTGCTACCCGGGCATTGTCTGTCCTCCCACTCTACCCTACTCTTCTAGCCTCAGTTTCATGATGCTTCCTACTTGTCATCAACCTCAAACAGAAATACAACTGATCACTCATTTAAGAACCAACTTATCCTCAGCATTATCCAACTAAAATGTGCTGTTCCTCGTTCAGTTTAAACAAAGACAGAAGCTAGAAATCAGACTAGCATGAAACTTCAGGAGTTAAGTTCTAGGTTATTTTCTGACCATGGTGGGAAAAGACAAGGAGAGAAGCAGAGACTGACTGGGATAAGACAGGCAAAATAAAGAAAATAACTGGAGTTGTTTTGTGTTTCGGGGTTTTTTTTCCTCCTGAGTTTCTGATACCGTATCTTTGGCTATAACTCAGCTCAGAAGAATTTTAAAATATTTTAAAGCTATTTTTGTATTTAAAAGGCCACCCCCTGACAGCCTTTGGGCCGGACCCGAGCTGTGCAGGTGCCCAGGAGGTGGGCAGTCAGCGCCCAGGAAGCCACGTGGCGACCTGGCCCTCAGGCCAGCTGCCACCATGCAGTCAAAAATTATCATGGCACAGAGAAGCAATGACACAATTGGCCCACCATTCACCAGCCACGATGCCCACCCAAGGATGTGCATGAACCATCCTGACATGGAGAAACCCCTGGGAATACATGCCACACAACCAGTCGCTCTTGCCCCTGCTGATGAGAACCAGAAATGTCCAGAGTCAGCAGAGGAGGAGCAGCTGCTGAACACAGACTCAAAGAACACAAGAATACAGGCTATGCCCGAAGGCTCAGAGGTCTAGTTGACCGGGGTGACGAGAGCGGTTTGGAAGGTGGAAACCAGGAGATCCTTGCGCAATACCTGGGGAGACCCCCTGGAAGCCATTCTTCCCCTGACAGTACAGGCTGTGCTGGAGGAACGCGTGGAGCTCTGGAGAGGTCTGCACCGAGATTCCTGTTGCCTGTGCTGATGGCTGGGGAGAGGACACTAAGTGGTTGCAGGGTCCCAATGTGCTGGGAGGCTGGAGAGAAAGAGCTACAAAAAAAGGCTTATGCCCCAGATAGCTCACTTGAGATGTTAGTAATAATCACCTCCTCAGTACTCTATAGCCATGACAAGGAGGAGGCCAAGGAGAGAAAACAAAGAGACTGAGAAAAAGCAGCTGCCTTTGCTGTAGCTCTAAGAGAAACAGACCCTAAGTCTGATTCTCGGGGCCCCAAGAAGAACTCAACAACTGCATTCATCTGCTACCACTGTTAAAAGCCAGGCCACCTCAAGAGGAACTGCCCTAAGAAGCCCCCTGGGCCATGCCCTGAATGCAAAGGTGACCACTGGAGATCAGTCTGCCCTCTGAAGCAGAGATCCCAGAGCTCAGACCCATCCTACCAGTTAGTCTAACAGGAATGAGGGGGACTGGGGCATACCCTGCTTTCTCCCTCTGGCCAGACTGTCATCTCCATGGAGGAGACCCGGGTAATCATGACTATAGAGGAGAAAGAAAACAGCCTGTTGCTAGACACAGGTGTAAGTCTCTCAGTCCTTCTTTTCAATACTGGCCTTCCTTCCAGCCATCACACCTCAGTGAAAGGAGTCACTGGTGAGGAGGTAATACACTATTTTTCACTACACTATAACTACTTGTTAGATCTTTCTTGCATATCTCTGTTTTCCTGAGAAACCACTTTGAGGATACCACTATGTATTACAGCAGCCATTTGTATTTTCCTACTAATCTGTCCATAACTCTGTAATGT